CYRCACTGCATGTGCTCGTAATCGATCGGAAGAAATAATAGCAAGGACAASTTTTCTTTATTCGYTCGCAGAAGAAAGATTCTGAAAGCGGAAGAGAAGTGCCATATRGAAYAACAGCAATGAATTCACCAATGGTTATGGTGTTTGTACCTTGCATCAATCAATAGACGATAAAGCTTTCATCCTCAACAGATTCGTAAGATATAACATCACACGAAGTGAACATTACATWTGCGATATGACTTCTGCAACGAACAGTCGGGATGGCGAKTGCTGTAGTTCTGAAAGCGAAAACCAGAATCACGAAACCGAAAGGCTAGACGAACTGTTCGACAGCAAAGGAGAAGTTGTCAAGGTAGAGAATCTCGAATTTATACCAGGGAATTTAGGTCAAGGAGCCTTTGGAACAGTTCGCCTTGCCMRGCGCACGTTCAAGTCAAGCTCCACCGACAGCTCAAGTAGTGGTTATGTCGGTAGTTGCGATAACAATGCCCGAACTGCTAATAATCAAAGATCGGTGAAAAGATCACTCAATCAGAAATCATGCTCTATGCCACTCGGTCGCMTTTTTCGCAGTGACAGTCTTGATTTGACCCAAAACAACAACGCCACGAGCAATAATGCTCATCGAAATCGTTATAGGAGGCCTGCGGTGAACTCTAGTGGGTTTCACCTATTCCGCAGTAGGTCGCGGGACTCTATCCGAGAAAACCTATTTGATGATTCATACAACGATGACGACCAACTCGTGGCCGTCAAGATTTTCTCGAAGTCCAATCTCAAACGCAGAAGAACTATTGAACGTGATAAAAGTACAAACCGCGTAAAAGTGAAGACAGCGCTCCAACAAGTGGAAAGGGAAATTGCATTGATGAAAAAGCTTTCGCACCCAAACTTGGTACGACTTTATGAAGTCATAAACTCGCCTAAAAGTGATAGTTTGTACATGGTGTTGGAATATATGCCGCTGGGAGAAATTCTCACATTTCAAGAACACGATGGAACTTTCAAGAGGTCAGACAGTCTTCGTCACAAACAAATTGATGGACTCATAGATGGTGGATATTTTGATGAAGAACATGCAGCTCTGTATTTCGTTGATATATTACATGGCTTGGCCTATTTACATCAGCATCATATTTGTCATCGTGATCTAAAGCCTGAAAATATTCTATTGAGCAACAGCGGCATYGCTAAGGTTGGCGACTTTGGCGTATCACACATTTTTGAAGAAGAGGATCATGCACACCGCCGTCTTTCTGCTTCTGAAACGTCTGARAGGAATATATTCAAAAAGAAAAGTTGGAGCTCCACATCTTATTCATTGTTTTCGTCWGACSAAGACCAGCAGGAAAAGAACCCCACTGTTTTGACTCGCCAAGACACGGATTCAGCGTATTCTATGGGTAGAATGGCTGGATCTGGAATACTGACCAAAACTGAAGGCACCTGGTGCTTTTGGTCCCCTGAAATGTGCAGTGAATCAAATTCACGAGGCTTTTCGGGGTATGCTGCAGATCTTTGGGCCGCAGGCATTTGTTTGCATATATTTGTCACTGGCAAACTTCCCTTCTACAACACGATTCCACTGGATCTCTTTGCAATGATTGTTCATAAAAACGTACAGTATAAGGGCCTGGGCCTCAGTRATTCTTTGGTAGACTTGTTGAAGTGTTGTTTGGAAAAGGATCCTAACCTACGGGCGGGAGTTGGAGATTGTCTCCACCATGCTTTCTTGGAAAAAGCGCGAGAACAACGYATCCGGGAACTCGGTCCTGAATTCGAAAGTTCGTTGAGCGTTATTCAWATTAGCGAAGAGGACATACGGATGGCCTTTCGAACTGTCACAAGTGTTCCSGGTCAAATCATGCGGWCTGCTAGCAAGAAAATACAAGAAGGACTGGCGCACACTCGAGAGAACCTGAGAGCACGTATCCCTTCGTTGGCATCAACCAATAATTCAGGAGACGAACAAAGTACCGCCTCGAAGAATAACATCAATATGAGTGCTACGATCAGCGACCCTAATAACGGAAACAGCATCTCAACTAACAAGCACAGCAATCATGTTGTATTTTACAGTCGGCAGGCATCGGGCGACTCAATTAATTCACTCCCTTTTTCCGATAAAAAGGAAAAACTCAAATATGGAAGCAAATCCGACGCAATGKCTGATGCCAATAGAATAGTGATTCGTAAAAATGGAAACGAATCCGAAACGGATACCCATGTAAGTCGTCTATCGTCTGGAATCTCACTTGGGAGCACTGGTACCGATGACCTGCCCACGAAAGAAATGTCTTCGCGAGTATCGTTCGGAAGTAGCAACGCCGACGATTTAGACATGATGCGCTTGGAAGAAAACGGTGATCAAAAGGACGATAATGCCGAGGAGAGAGGCGAATGCCCTGGTAGCAATGACAAACACSAACAAAGCAAAATATCAAAGGGATCCTTGAAGAATTCTCATTTCGTTTCTTCCAATGATCTCCAAGAAATAGCAAAAAAGCATTCAACGATTTACAAGCCAGAGGATCACCCGACGACGGTGTCACGTACATACAATGATTTCCCAAGTRTCTCAACTGCCTGCCTCTCTGAAGAAGGGATTGCATTGGATCAGGATGAAGAAAACGATGTAAATTTAGGATGTTTAATTCAATAACGATTCACTCTATTTTTCACTCTATTCTCTTCGATTCTTCTTCTATGATCAATCGAATCATTTAACATTGARCCCCCCACTAATTGATTTTTTTGCTGCCTCTCTTTCGTCAAACATGGAGATTCTAAGAAGAGTACTTTTTATCATCGATCGTCAATCAGATCGTCGAATCCCAACTCGTACAAACTATTTGCGCGAGAAGCCTCCTGAAGAGGCGCTGGTTTCGATGGCGGTTTCTTGTCAGTGTCAACATCATTGCTATTGTTTAACGGATTTGAAGAATCACCAATGAGATCATTGAATCCAAAAACGCCCAAACTGGTTTCACGAGCTCCTCTCGTTAGATGTTGTGGCTTTAGATCCCCGGGTTCCAAAAAATCAATTGATGTCGTTCGACCATCCATAGATAATGGTTCTAGGTTAGCTGCTTCAGGCACAGGGCTTCCCAAACGAATATCTTCGGTGGTTTTTTGTATTGCTTGCATGTCTCGGTTAAAAACTTCAGGGGCATACTGTTGTTTCAGCCGGTTTGAGGTTGCACTTTGGTCCCGGCTCAAGGTTGCTCGTTTTAATTTATGAGGTTTTGATTCGAAGGTTTCATTTTGATTGGAAGTGTCTCTTTTCACCATTCCCGGACGAGGGAGTGCATCGTTATGATTTGATTGTTGTCCTCGTGATGGACTCGTATCCGCACCGGTRTATGCTTGCGGATCGTATTGTGGTGGATATGGATTGTAATTTGGATGCCCAAAATCTCTTGGTGGAGGTGGTCCTCCTCCATCTGACCAGCTCCTGTTGATATTCATTGTGTTGAAAGGTGGACTAGATGTATTGCTGTTGGCGGGTGATGGAACCTGCCGATAATGTCCTCCCATAGTTCCCATTGAATCGCCACTCTGCTGATACCCAAACCCAGGGTGAGTTACAAGTGGTGGCGGCGGCGGAGGTTGATTCCAGAAACCAGACCCTCTTGAATCGAAGGTASCTGAAGGAGCTGGGCGGTTGACAATTGCTCCGGGCAGTGGATTMAGAGAAAATGAATGCTCGCGTCCAGATCCTCCCGCGTTCCAGCTCCCCGATCGTTGATGGCGGGCACCTCGGGGAGAAGGCGGAACGGGGAACGTAAAGCTCCCGGACCTCTGATGCATCAAACCGCCTGGTGGYGGYGGCGGTGGTGCGCCTGGAAACTGTTGAAAAGACGAAGAACCCCAGCTCTGAATGCTACTGGTAGAGAAYTCTCGTCTCGGCTCCCCGGAAGCCACTCTTCCGTGGTAATCCGGAGGTGGTTGCTGCGCGAACGGTGGCCCGATRCTTCCTCTGCTCGAACTCCTTCCAGGAGGAAGAACGATGCCTGGTAGAGAACCTAGCGATCCGATAGACATMTCTCTCCCTCCGCTGTCTTTGACCCAAGTGAAACCTTCTATATCCAAGCTCTCGCCCTTACCCAAATACTCTCTTCCGAAAGTGTGATCTCTGCGTACAATATCTGGTCTCTTCACTTTACCTTTTTTGTTTCCTTTTGCCGCCGTCCCTTCGGCATTCGCATCGCCGTTGGAAGCAGATTCCTATAAATGTGCGGAAACAAAAACAGCGATGAATGTATTATTCATTGCACATGGGCAGAATCTTCAAACAAATAAATCATATTCTGTTTCTGCGTACCTCGTTTTTCTCTTCTTCTTGCTGTTTTCGGATCTGGGGTGCCTTTTCTCTCAACGCCTGGCTCGTTTTTTCCCTCGCCTTCTTTTCGCCCACGTCGTTCCAAAGCCCCGTTGCCTCGTCCTGCTTCAGAAACCGTCCGGGGGGCCATTGCGCCCTCCACTCTTTTATTATTTCTAATGCCACAAGAGGCTTGTCGAGACGTTTGCTATTTACGTATTTGACCTTGCGATCCTCGACCATCTTTCGATACCGTTTGTTTCCGGGGTGGTGATTGGTTCCTCCCCCCCTTCCGTACATGACGTCGTGATCGTGCGGTTCCTTGATATCGTGAAGTGGCCAATCTTTGTATTTTATTTCTAACTCCTTGATTCGTTGTTTCTCTTTCTCTTCCTTTTCCTTGGCTTCCTCGTCTTTTTCTTCTTGCGTCCTCGTGTCGTCTTCGGCTTCACTTTTGACATCGTCACCATCGTCGTTGTCGCCACTCTTAGTTTCATCGGACGAGGTTGCTGTTTCCACTACATAATCGCTATCGGTATCCGTCGTGTCCTTTGTGGATGTTGTTTCATCTCCGTTCTCACTTGCTGACCCTGACCTGTCTGGCGACATCTTTTTGGTTGCTTCCGCAAGCTCTGCTACGTTGTCTGTCATCGGGGTGCTCTGCTGTATGACTTGTTGGGGAAACGGTATGGGTGGTGTCTTGAATTTTGAACGAGGAACTCTCGCCGAGCAATCTATTCGAACTAGAGGGCAGTTCTTGTTTTTATGAGTGGATCGCTGTTGTTTTTGTTTCCCTTTTGTTATTGTCGACAGGTTGGTCGTGTGTTTTCAGTCTCCCGATACACATGAAAAGGCAGTTGTTATTTGCAAAGTTTTTTTAATGTAAAAAAGAGCATTTTGAGATCATTCTGCAGGGCCTGCTTCAGTACAGACCATACGCCGGGATGGCTTGCGCAACTTCGCGTAGGATTATTACTGTATTCTACGTTGAGTCCCGCAGAATATTTTCAAGATTTGCGACCTCGCAGTTCTTACAGTTCAAAACGGTCGAGTGTTGCTRTGTGTTGTTGCCGTTCGTTCCGAATGGGGTCACTAGTCACTAAGGTACATACGTATTCGGAATCACTTCTCCCCACCAAAAATTAAAAACAAAAACTGCCTGAGAAGCAATTACCACGATCAAAACAGCCGATCTCAACTCATCAAATACTACCTAATTATAATAGAAGCACAGTACGAAGTAGTTGTTTACTGGAACGTTCTGACACCAAATCCCTGGCTTCCGCGAGACGGCTCGCTCACCTACCATCAGTGCCCAAAGCGAATGGATATGTTACTGGAGGTCTGAGGGAGATTATGGATATGGAGCTAGTACTAAAATAATACTTGTAGTTCTTTTCCAGATTGTTTAATAGACCTAGCGAGATGGTTTGATCGTCACCCTGTTTTATTTGTTTATGCCATAGCAAAGAATTCCCTAGAAACAACTATTGCGAGCAGTGTTGGCTTTCTGATAACGCCGCAGACTCTCTTAACTTCAGGAGACACAGAGTGGTAGCTGCCAACGGTACTTCCTATTCTTTTCCGTTGTAGTACTGCTTGATAGCATCCAAAGACTCAAATTTTTCGATAAACGCTTTCAGTTTTGGGAATTCCGACAAGCTTTTGTTTGCCTCCGAAATTTCCTTCTTCGCAGCCATGTTGATCAAGCTACAATACCAGACAAAATCTGCGGGTGATGGCTCTTCCGTTCCGGCAATCCAACCAGTTGTACTGGTGTCGAAAAATCTTTCTACCCTTTTCAAATGGCCGGGTAGTACGGTTTGGTTGAAGTGTTCGTACGATTTTGCTGTTGCTTCMGGGGTCAAATCMACGCCGAATCGCAAGCCATAGGTTAGGACAGTCGATCCCAGAAAAACGTCGGCCGCCTGATCCATGATAGAATCGATAGTTTGAGCCAAAACATGGTCGGTCATCGGGTAGAGGCCCGAAAGTTTCCCGAGATACCGCATGATTGAGCCAGATTGGACCATTGCATGTTTGCCGTCGATTTCTAGCATTGGAACCTGCCCGAACGGAAGCTTACTGCTCTCCTTCATGGCGGTAAATTCATCCCTGCTGCTGAAACGATAATCTTCTAGCTTCAAGCCAGAATAGGCGCAAATAAGTCGAATGGCTTCGCCCTTGCCCTTTATAGGAAAATAATAGAGCTTTAGGGTTGGTTGGTCGGTATTTTGTTGCTCCATCTCTTTTTGTTTCATTGCCGTTCTAAACGAAGTGAGTAGAGTGGGTACGATCACGACGGTGATTGTTGTATCTTTGATTACTCGTACCGTACATTACTGTACCGTACGATACGAACGGTATTATTCCTGGAATATTCTGATGACCCAGGATCCAAGCACAGAGTATTTGGCAAGAGGTAGGGGTACCGTACTACGGTTCGTACGGTACGTACGGTAAACAGTAAAAATAGAACGGGTTACTACGAGTACAAGTGCGAGTACTGTACTAGTGCGTGTGGTACCGGTACGTACTACGTATGTTAAGAGTGCTCATCTTTTCTTCCGATTAAGCGGTTCGTACCTACGTAGTAGTACATACGAAACATCATATAGTACTAACATGAGAGGAGGGAGGGCCTTTTGGAGAGTTTTCACCGATTAGTTGTCGTCCTGCCAGTACGTCGTACGTACTCGTAGATTTGTTACTAAGCATCATAATTCCCTACCGTACACATATTCCTAGTCTTATTATTTTGCACCTCGGCATATATGATTTCAATTTTCAACGAATTTACTCATGGTTCTAAGGCACGTGCTCTTGCGGGCGAAGTACGTAATGATAGCAATTTGGTAGTACAGTACAGTAACACCAGAGACCTAATCTCACCGTACCATACTGCAGCAATAACCACATGAATACAACGCGCACGGATCGAGGGCCCCGATGAAAAATGAGGAGGGCCAGACCAGATGGCATGTTTTTCGTTGTGACTCAACGCTCCCCTCCTCACGAAATGGCCGAAATAGATGAGAGTTCTTTTTCTGCGATTGCTCAACTTCGATGAGAGAACGAGTACGGTACCGTAATCGAAGCAACGCCGATTGCCTCGACAGAAACGCAACTACACCTACAACCACAACTACAACACCAAAATCGAATAAGGTTCAATCCAGCCACACCCCATTGCCGCGTCTTATCCCGCAAGTGCCACAGAGGCGAAGTCGAGGTAGTTACATTGTTCTTTCAAATTGCTTACCAGGACAAACTGTCGGAGAGACCACACAAATATATAATGTTTGGAAACAAAAAGAAGACGAAGGATACACGCGTCCGTGATCTATTCGAGTATTTGTGTACCTGCACACCRTGCTGGGAATGYCTCCTCGATGACTACGACTGCAACTACAATTTTACGCTGAGGGACCGTGTGGAAATATGGAAAGATACAAGGAGATACAAAAGATTACGGAGGATAGAGAGCAAAGAGCGAGAAAGATCAGAACGAAATCAGAGGAGCACCTGGAGATCGATGGGATCAGTAATATGACGATAAGATAATAACATCAATGACAGCGAAGATAACGACGACGATAACGACGACGATGCACAATCCGATCTGAATAATAAACGGCACCATCGTTTCTTTTTCGAGTGGCGCTACACAAAGAATACTATCCAAGAAGAACAACTGTTCCGCAAGGAACACGACGACTGGGCATGAAAGAATGCTTTCGGAGCAGTCCCGTGCCGGGGCCAGGACTCTTGCAGGGCGATGCCAGCAGCTGCCTCGCCCGCCAAACCAAAACGACTGCAGGAAGAACTCTTTCGACAGTAATGCCAACAATTAGTGTGCCCCCTACGCATAATTCATAAATTTTTATAAAATCAAGGGATAATTTGATTCGAATCATCAAGGTAGAAAAGATTGATTCTTAATCGTTGTTTATGAGGCGCTGAAATTGTATTTGCTACAAGTGACAGCTCCACGAACAAAAACTCGGATCGCTGTACGAAGCACGATTCCTTCCAAACATTCGCATCGCGTCCACCGGTGAAGCGCCACCGCCCGCGTTGGGGCGAGCCCGTCTCGTGYGTTGTCTCTATCGCCTGCGCGAGCTGCCGCGGGACCTCGATTTCGATTTGGGCGTCGTGGCCGATGCCGGTGCGCTTCCAAAGAGTCCCCCGGCCGCGGGAGCGGGGGCTCCGAAGGCGGGTGCAGCGGGTGCCGGAGCGCCAAAGAGCCCCCCGGCTGCCGGTGCGGGGGCTCCAAAGGCGGGTGCCGG